GTATAGGAGAGAATTTCTTATTTGACACCAGACAAATGATCCGTTCCTTTCTTGGCAAATGACCCGTTCCTTTCTTGGCCCTCAAAAAATTTCCGTTCCCTATTTGACACCGAGTTCAACTTTCGTTCCTTATATGACACTCCGTTGAATTTTCCATCCGTGAACCGTTAACTGCCATATGAAAAGACGATTTTGTCCCTGTGGGCCCCACCACCCTTCTCCCTCCTCTCCTCCCCTGACCCGCCCGACGCTGAAGCCCCGACCCTGCCGCCGGCGGCGGCGTTGACTGCCACCACGGCGTCGGCGCCCTTCTCCCCCCTCCACCTCCCCCACCGTTCCTGCTGAAGCCAGCTCGCAGTTTCGCGACGAACGGACCGAGGTGGCCAACCCTAGCCTGGCGCCCCTCCCTCCCTTCCCCTCCACCTCCCCAACCCCTCCGCTGTTGCCTCGTCGCGAGTCTCCTCCCCGTCCCCGTCCCCGCCACCGCCGCCACCGGGTGGCCGCCGCCGTGGCCACCGCATCCGCGGTCGTGGTCGCCCCAGGGAAGTGCGTGAGTGCCGGATCTAGAGGGCACGCGTCCACAGCGGCGCCTTCGACGCAGCGACCAACGAGGCCATCTCGGCCACCTCCGGCGGATGCCTTCGCGGATGCCAGCGGCCAAGCGGACGGCGGGCCCTTCGCGCAGCAGTCGCCGACGGCCACAACGGCTCCCGCGGCGCCCTGCACGCCACTGTTGCAGCAAACGACGCCGAGAAGCCCCGACGGAGATGGACCTCGAGCCGTGCGGCCCTCTTCTGGCTCCGCGTCCTCTGAGGTCGCCCTTGCGTCTGCCATCGACACCGAGAGAGAGAATGGGAGGAGAAGAGGGAGAAGGGTGGTGGGGCCCACAAGGGCAAAATCGTCTTTTCACATGGCAGTTGACGGTTCATGGATGGAAAATCTAACGTAGTGTCGTATAAGGAATGAAAGTTGAACTCGGTGTCAAATAGGGAACGAAAATTTTTTGAGGGCCAAGAAAGGAAGGGGTCATTTGTCTGGTGTCAAATAATGAATTCTCTCGATATTGGAAAACTATTATAGGGTACAAAGATAAAGAAAATAACTTTTACTCAAATGACTCGCAAAATGATGACTCAGAGAATGAGTTTTAGAAAGACTCGAGATGCTCTAAGGTAATCACAAAATCCACATCTGCAAATTACCAACATCTATTATTATGAAAAACATCCCAAAATAATCCCCTTATTTTTATCTAAGTGGCCCACCTTACAAATTATACAAACTACTAATCCCTAACGTTGTATCTTAATTGGACATCACCTTTGCTAGTCAAAGTGGGCCACCTATGCGATTACGAAAAATAATATAAAGTAACTCATGAATTTGAATCTAAATTATCTGCCTCTATTGTTATTAAAAATAAAATAACACGAAAAAGTTACTTGAGGCATTGTAGAAAATATATGAAACTACTTATACATATTACATTCTAAATAACTATCCTGTTCTGCCACTGTTAATACCAGTGTTCGTCTAAACGACCAGTAAACGGTAAATGGTGGTAAACTGTTTTGTTTAGGGGATAAACGGAAATTAAATGGTTGACTGTTTAAACGGTTAAAAAACGGGGAAAACGGTCTAAACGGCCTAAACGGAACGAAGATAAACAGCATTAAACGGGCTAAACAACTGTTTAGGTAAACATGAGGTAAATCTAGTTCAGTTTTGTATGGATAAATTTGTATACTTAAGTTTATTATATTTATAAATGTGTAAACTTGATATGTTACATGCATAAATATCTATATTTGGTTCTTTTCACATGCATAAATATATATACATACCAAAACAATTGATTTTTACTCAGATAAATATGTATAAATGCTAGAATACTTGTTTTTTTACATGCACATATATAATTATATGTATTTTGTTTAAAAAGTACAAAACCGTTTAGACTGTTTAACTTCGTTTAAACACCGTGTAAACAACCTAAACGCTAAACGAAGAGCGACCGTATAAAGACCGTTTACCGTTTAGGAAAACATTGGTTAATATAGAAAAAAAGTTCACTTAAGGTATACTTGCATCGTATGTGTGTCACCATTATTCACACCACATATTGAAGTTACATATAGGAAGGAGTAATCATATCTCTTCCTATGTCAAACAAACATGGACCTTTCAATCAATCCTGATCTGTATACATAGTAGCATCCACATTTGTAATCTCCTCAGACCATTGGTCATCTGTCATGTCACATGAAACATACTCCTTTGCTGCATAAATGCATTCTAGTGTCATTTCTACTTGTCTCATTGTCGGCCGGTCCTTGCTTTCGTGCTTCACACATATTGCTGCCAATAGAGCAATGTCAACAACTTCTCCATCTCCCTCCTTGACAACTTGTGGATCCAGTGTCTGAAATAAGCTGCCTTTCAACACGAGAGTGACAAAATGATACACAAGGCCATTCTACGGATCTATATGAAACAGGCTTGTTTCTAGTAAGTAGCTCTATCAATAGCACACCAAAGCTGTAGACATCACTCTTCTCCGTAAGGTGCCCTGTGCTATGGTACATAGGATCCAAGTACCCAAATGTTCCTTGCACAGCAGTATTTAGCCCACTTTGATCAATAGGAATATACCTTGAAGCTCCAAAGTCTGACAACTTCACAGTTAAATTGTCATCCAGAAGTATATTTGGAGACTTGACATCCCTATGGATTATTGGCGTTGAAGTGAGTGAGTGAAGATATGGAAGAGCCCTGGCGGTTTCAACTGCAATCCTTAATCTATCTCTCCATGGTAGTGATGTTGAATTTCTAACATGAAGGTGGCTGTAAAGGGTGCCATTGGAAATGAACTCATAAACAAGTAGAGGAACTTCAGTCTCAAGACAACAACCTTGAAGCTTCACAATATTTCTATGATTTATCTGGGAAAGGATAGCAACCTCGTTTATGAACTCATCAATTTCTCTTTGTATCACTATTTTTGACTTTTTAATTGCCACAACATGTAGACTTGATAAGATTCCCTTGTACACTGTTCCGTGCCCTCCACCACCATGTTCACGAGCTTTGTCAAAGTTGTTAGTTGCTTTCTCTAGTTCTTCCAAAGTAATAACAATCATTCTTTCAGCTATGCCTGCCCTTTGAGGTAACAATTGCTGCAACAATTGCCCACGGTTTTGGTTAAAGAATCTTTGTCTCGTCTTTTCCTTCCTTTGTGTCTTGATTTTACTGATTATTAATGTTGTGATTATGACAAGAAAGATAAGCATCGCACCACTTCCAATGCCTAGACCAATGATTAGCCCTGTGGGTGACACACAAATTGTCAGTTTACTATTAGAGTATAAATTCCGAAAACTTACACCCGTGCTTGGGTTATCTAAGGCACATAGGGATCTTTTGCAAAAACTGGGTGCACGAACGTCACTCTTTCATGGTAGGTGATATGCTCGTTAAGAACGATATAATGCATGTATAGTGACTTTGTTAATCTCAAAATTCGCTGGCTTAATCTTTTGAAGGTGCTCATAGGGTAGGGTATACGTATGTGTGTTCATCAATGTTTTAAATAGCGGGCTAAGATGTTTAGCGGTATATCTCTAAAACAGCTAATAGCGAAGCTATATCGGGCTATAGCGGGATATAGCGGCTAAATTGTACATGAACTCAAATAGTGGCACCCTGCCTGAAAAGGCTATAGTGGGCGATAACGGCAGCTAACGGAAGATTTAAAACTATGGTGTTCATAGCTAGAGAATGTGTGTACGTGCATTTACGTGAACGTCAGTGGGAGTTTTTGTAGTGCGTCCTGCTGAAAAGATGTTAGTGAGCTTTAGCATATGTTACCTGTATTTGGATCAGGTGGACTTATGCAACCGTTTTGAACTTTTGGGTTGCCGCTGGTTCCCTTGGGACAGTGGCACGAAAAGCTTCCAAGCAAATTTGTGCAATTGCCATAGCAGTTATCTGGAATCGTGCACTCATCGATATCTACAAGCAACGACGACGAAATCTCATCCAGGGTAAACTTTTGTATACATATGCAGATGAAAAAAGAGAGACATATATACGTGCATGCATCTACGACATACACAAAGTTTACCTTGGCATCCGTCGGGGAGGTAAGGGTTGCCTTGGAACCCTTTGTCACATTTGCACACGTAGCCGGTGGTGTAGTTGAACAACCTGTACGTGGCGCGGCTGGTGCTGCAGGTGCTGTGCCTGCTGTGGCACGCGGCGGTGCCCGGATCCTTAGGGCACGTCTCGTTCCCAGGCCGGCTCGCATGGTGCCGGCGGCCGGCCAGCGCCTTGGACCCCAGCTCCCAGCCCATCTTGAGTTTCTCGTAGAAGAAGTGGTAGCCCGTGCGGTTCTCGGCGCCGGTCCAGTTCGTGTCGGCTGGCCCTGGTACCAGAGACGGCGCCATGACCACCTGGGGCGGCCGGAAGCTCATGGTGGAGCGGTCGAGCGAGATTCTGGTGACGACGTACTGGATGGCGCCCATCCAGAAGACCAGCCGCGGCGTCGCGAAGCCGGTGGCCTTGCAGGTGACGTTGAAGCCCTCCAGGTAGCACCCTGGCTCGATGCCGAACGGGTATGGCACGCTCACTTTCCCGCAGCGGGTCGTGCAGCCCGGCAGCCCTATCGTCAGGCGATGGCGCCCCTGCAGGTTGTTGGAGTTGTTCCAAATTCACTTCAGGATATAGGCCGGGCTTCTGACGGAGCGAAGCGGAGGCCCGTCGCCGGAGGCTTGGGCCGGAGTTCTCTTGTAAGCCGCCATAGGCGTGTAACCCAAAACTCTTGAGATAGTAAGATTGTTGCTGGCTGGTGCCCGTGGTTTTTCCCTTTCACATCGGAGGGGTTTTCCACGTTAAATCGTGTGTCTCCTCTGTGGCTTGATTCTTTACTTCATACTCCTATACGTCGTTCATAACAAGTGGTACCAGAGCTTTGGTTGCTATTAGGGTTCATGACGACGTCGATGAAGTTCGATCTTCCGCTGCTGAACTACGACACGCGGTTCTCGCTATGGCAAGTCAAGATGCGGGGGATTCTGGCGCAGACTCATGACTATGATGAGGCGCTGGATAGTTTCGGAAAGAGGAAGGCCGAGTGGACTCCAGAAGAGATCCGCAAGGATCAGAAGGCGCTCGCCCTAATTCAGTTGCATCTTCATAATGATATTTTGCAGGAGTGTCTGAAAGAGAAAACTGCTGCAGAACTATGGCTGAAACTGGAATCGATCTGTATGTCCAAGGATCTAACCAGTAAGATGCAGATGAAGATGAAGCTGTTCACCCTGAAGATGAAGGAGGAGGATTCATTGATGAGCCACATCGCTGAATTCAAGAAGATCGTCGCCGACCTAGTGTCGATGGAGGTGAAGTATGATGATGAGGACTTAGGTCTTTTACTGCTATGTTCTTTGCCAAATTCGTATGCAAATTTTCGTGACACCATACTTTTGAGCCGTGATGAACTAACCCTAAAGGAAGTTTATGAGGCTCTCCAGTCTAGGGAGAAGATGAGAGGCATGGTGCAGAATGACGGGACGTCGTCCTCCAAGGGCGATGCTTTGCATGTGAGAGGTAGAACTGAAAACATATCCTCCAATGATGGCAATGATGGTAGAAAGAATTACGAAAGGAGAGGCCGTTCAAAGTCCAAGCCGCATGGTAATAAAAAGTTCTGTGTTTATTGCAAGCTGACAAATCATAATGTTGAGGATTGCAGAAAAGTACAGAATAAGGAGAAGAGGAAAAACAAGTCGGCTGGTAAGGTCTCTGTTGCTGCTGCTGCGTCTGATGATGATTCTGGAGATTGTCTAGTAGTATTTGCTGGTTGTGTTGCTGGTCATGATGAATGGATTCTCGATTCCGCATGTTCATTTCATATTTGCACTAACAGAAATTGGTTTAGCTCGTATAAGCCTGTGCAGAGAAAGGGGATGTTGTGCGGATGGGAGATGATAACCCGTGTGACATTGTGGGGATTGGATCAGTTCAGATCAAGACTGATGATGGCATGACACGCACGCTGAAAAACGTCAGGTATATACCAGAGATGTCCAGAAATCTTATCTCATTGAGCACGCTTGATGCAGAAGGTTACAAATATTCCGGTTCAGATGGCGTTCTGAAGGTATCAAAAGGTTCTCTTGTTTGCTTGAAAGGTGATCTTAATTCTGCAAAGTTATATGTTCTTAGAGGGTGTACTTTACCTGGTTCTGATTCCGCTGTTGCTGCTGTTACTAATAATGAACCTAGTAAAACTAACCTTTGGCATATGCGTTTGGGACATATGAGTCACCATGGTATGGCAGAATTGATGAAGAGAAACCTGCTGGATGGCTGCACTTCGAGTAAAATAAAGTTTTGTGAGCATTGTATTTTCGGGAAGCATAAAAGGGTACATTTCAATACTTCTGTTCACACCACTAAAGGTACTCTTGATTATGTTCATGCTGATTTATGGGGTCCTTCCCGTAAGTCCTCACTTGGTGGTGCTCGTTACATGCTTACAATTATTGATGATTACTCTAGAAGGGTTTGGCCTTATTTTCTGAAACAGAAAGATGATATTTTTGCTGCTTTTAAGGACTGGAAAATAATGATAGAAAGGCAAACTGAAAGGAAGGTAAAATTGCTTCGTACTGATAATGGTGGAGAATTTTGTTCGCGTGAATTTAATGATTATTGCAGATCGGAAGGCATTGTTAGGCATCACACCATACCCCATACTCCACAACAGAATGGTGTGGCCGAACGCATGAACAGAACCATCATGTCCAAGGCCCGTTGCATGCTGTCTAATGCCAGGATGAGCAAGCATTTTTGGGTGAAGCCGCTAATACTTGCTGTTATATTTGATAAATGTGTCGCCTTCTATTCCACTAAATAAAAGAACTCCCATTGAGGTATGGTCTGGTACGCCTGCTGATTATTCACAGTTGAAAGTTTTTGGATGCACTGCTTATGCTCATGTTGATAATGGAAAATTAGAGCCTAGAGCTGTTAAGTGTCTTTTCCTTGGTTATAGTTCGGGAGTCAAAGGTTATAAATTATGGAATCCTGAAACAGGAAAGACTTTTATAAGCAGGAGTATTGTTTTCAATGAATCTGTAATGTTTACTGACAGTTTGCCATCAGATCATGTTCCAGAAAAAGAGCTGCAGCGTATGCGCATGCGTGTGGAGCATGTTGATCATGATACTGGTGTGTGTGTGGAGCTGTTGATGAGCATGGTGACCATGATAATGATGTTGTTTGAGGATGATGCTCATGATGATGTTCAAGAAACTCCTCCTATTTTGCGATTAGAGGAGGATTTACCTATTGCTCAACGCAAGTCAAAAAGGACAATTGCACCTCCTAAGCGTCTTATTGAAGAGTGTAATTTGTCTTACTATGCTTTGAGTTGTCTTTGAACAGTGGAGAATGTTCATGAGCCAAAGAACCTATAAAGAAGCTATTCGTTGTGGTGATCTTGAGAATTGGATTTACGCTATGCATGAGGAGATGCGATCTCTTGAGAAGAACAAGACATGGGAGATTGTACCTTTGCCTAAGAATAAGAAGACCATCACCGCAAATGGATCTTCAAGAGAAAGGAGGGTTTATCTCCAAGCGAGCCTCCAAAGTATAAGGCAAGGTTAGTTGCTAAAGGCTACTGATCAAATTCGGTGTTGACTACAATGATGATGTGTTCTCTCCGGTGGTAAAACACAGTTCAATTCGTACTTTCTTTAGTATTGTTGCTTCACATGATCTTGAGCTTGAGCAGTTAGATGTGAAGATCTGCGTTTTGCATGGAGAGCTTGAGGAGGACATATACATGGACCAACCGAAGGGTTCATAGTGCCCAGCAAGGAAAAATATGTGCAAGTTGAAGAGATCCTTGTATGGTTTGAAACAGTCCCCTCGTCAGTGGAACAAGAGGTTTGATTCATTTATGTTAGCACACAGTTTTAAAAGATCTAAGTATGATAGCTGTGTTTACATCAAGCATGTTAATGGATCACCTATATATTTGCTGTTATATGTTGATGATATGCTGATTGCTGCCAAGAGTAAGATTGAAATCACTAAGTTAAAGAAGCTATTGAGTAGTGGTTTTGATATGAAAGATCTTGGTAGTGCTAAGAAAATTCTTGGTATGGAAATTAGTAGAGACAGAAAATCTGGTTTGCTATTTCTTAGTCAACAAAATTATATCAAGAAAGTTCTTCAGCATTTCAACATGCAAAATGCTAAGGCTGTTAGTACCCCTATTGCACCTCACTTTAAGTTGTCAGCTGCTCAGTGTCCTAGTACAGATGCAGAGATTGAATATATGTCAAGGGTTCCTTATTCTAGTGCTGTGGGGTCTTTGATGTATGCCATGGTTTGCTCTCGTCCAGATTTGTCATATGCTATGAGTCTTGTTAGTAGATATATGTCTAATCCTGGCAAAGAACATTGGAGGACAGTTTAGTGGATTTTCAGGTACCTCAGAGGCACAGCAGATTCCTGTTTAAAGTTTGGAAGAACTGATAAGGGTCTTATTGGCTATGTGGATTCTGATTATGCTGCTGATCTGGACAGGCGAAGATCACTTACAGGTTATGTGTTTACTGTTGGCAGTTGTGCTGTGAGTTGGAGGGCTACTTTACAGTCAGTTGTTGCTTTGTCTACTACTGAAGCAGAATATATGGCTATTTGTGAAGCGTGCAAAGAATTAATTTGGCTGAAAGGTTTGTACGCTGAGCTTTGTGGAGTTGGATCTTGCATAAGTTTGCACTGTGACAGTCAAAGTGCAATTTACCTCACTAAAGATCAGATGTTCCATGAGAGAACTAAGCACATAGATATTAAGTATCATTTTGTGCGTGATGTGATTGAAGAAGGTAAGCTGAAGGTATGCAAGATTAGTACTCATAATAATCCTGCTGATATGATGACAAAGTCTGTTCCTGTTGCTAAGTTTGAGCTGTGCTCAAGCTTAGTTGGTTTAATTGGATAGTCCAAGAGACTATTGTTGGCACCAGTGATTTTCTATCTTTGTTATGTTCAGGATGAAGGGTTGATTTATGATACAAGATGAATTTGTCTCAAGGTGGAGTTTGTTGGAGTTGTTCCTAATTCACTCCAGGATATAGGCCGGGCTTCTGACGGAGCGAAGCGGAGGCCCGTCGCCGGAGGCTTGGGCCAGAGCGTATATACACCCTTGCTAGGGTTTCGTGGAGACTTGATTCTCTTGTAAGCCGCCATAGGCGTGTAACCCAAAACTCTTGTGATAGTAAGATTGTTGCTGGCTGGTGCCCGTGGTTTTCCCCTTCACATCGGAGGGGTTTTCCACGTTAAATCATGTGCCTCCTCTGTGGCTTGATTCTTTACTTCATACTCCTATACGTCGTTCATAACATAGGTCGCCGGTGCCCGCCCCAGCAGCGGCGGCCACCAGTAACAGCGAGAAGACGAGCTGCAACCACACCGCCGCCGCCGCTGATGTCGTCGTCGTCGCCGCCGCAGCAGCACTACTTGATGAACTGTACTTTGGCATGGCTTTCACTCTCCCTTTCCCGTTTTTTTACCAATGAGATCGATCGATGGTGCTCGATCGACGCACATTTATATATACAGTTCCACTTCCAGTTCAAGCCAGGTATGCATTAGTTGTCGTCTGACGCATGCATCATACGCACTGTCTGTTGGTTCCGAGCTCCAAGTGACGGCCTAACCCATGCAGCAGGAGATGAGACGTCCCTTGTAACCCCCGAGGACCCAACATCCCTTCCCAAAATCCAAACTTGCTGACGACTAACACGAGCGCCTCAGAACTGCTCAAACCTAGCTTATTACCGGTCGCTATCATCAGGTAATAAACCTATTGCGGCATTGCCATGCATTGGTATTGCTGTGTCTGTAATGGCTGGGTATGTTCAGGGGAAAAGGAAGAGATGAGAGCATTTTACATTTGAGTACACGACACATCAGAGCTAGAGAACTACAACGCCACGCCTCAGCTATGTCATGCACCAAGCCACCACCAACTCATCCAATACAAGGTCGTCCAAACGTTGAACATGAACGACAGACAATGTTAAGGAGGTGGGGGTCCGTTTGGATTCCTTCATTTCGAAGGAATTAAAATCCACTTAATGAATTAGGCTATTTGACTTAGAAGTTGACATTACACAACTTTCCCAAGATGACAAATAATAAGCATATCTCAAATTCATAGGGTGTTAGGTGAAAATTGATTCTATAGATCACCATGATATATTTCTACTCTGCAACTTATAGCATGCTCTTCAACTCGTTTTTTTCTATAGTAGAAATGCAACAAACAAGTATCTCCCTTGTATGGCTAACAATAATATACAAATATATTCCATATAAAATCATATTAGCTTAATTAATGTATGCCTAAATTATAATTATTAGAATGAATTCAATTCCAAGGATCTAAATGGACGTGGAAATATGCACACACACTAGTAGATCGGCTAATTGGTGTCCATGCATGCATGAGGACAGGGCAATAGTTGGCTGTTAGCCAAGCAAGGGCTTGCAGGATTTATCAGTGCACCAAAATCCACCAAATCCAACATCTTTTCTGGCTTTGTTCCAAAGGTTTTTGTGTGCCAGCTATAAATAACGATCGAGGACGCCAGGACGGGTCCACGAAATTTCATGCATGGGAGACGAGCACTACTGGAAACTCGAATTGTTCTGTGGGTGTTTAATTTTTCTGTGCGTTTTTTTCGGTACGCATAGAAAAATTACGATTTTTCTGTCGGTTTCAAAATATCCCGACAGAAAAATACGAAAACCCATTTTTTCTGTGCGTGATAATACACACGGAAAAAATCAGCACTCACAGAAAAATGCAAATTATTCTATCGGTTCTTAAAAAAACACACAGAAAAATATATGTACGCACAGAAAAATTCAAACGAGCAGGACCCCTCCCTTCTTCTTCCCTTCCTCCGCACCCGAACCCCAGCGCCCCCTCCCCTCCCTTCTTCTTCCTCCGCACTGAACCCTCCTTCTTCTTCCTCCTTTTGAACGAACCCCAGCCCCCCCCCTCCCTTCTTCTTCTCCGCACTTTTGAATCTGGCGCCCCTCCCCTCCTTCTTCTTCCTCCACACCTGAATCCGCGCCCCCTCCCCTCCTTCTTCTTCCTCCCTTTTGGACCCCAGTGCTCCCTCCCCTCCTTCTTCTTCCTCCGACCAACCCCAGCGCCCCCTCCCCCTCCCTTCTTCTTCCTCCACACCCGAACCTCGGCGCTCCCTCCCCCTCCCTTCTTCTTCCTCCCTTTTGGGACCCTAGCGCTCCCTCCCCCTCCCTTCTTCTTCCTCCGCACCCGAACCCTAGCGCCCCCTCCCTCTTTCCCGGCACCCGACCCCCAGCGCCCCTCCCCTCCCTGCCGCCGCCCCTCCCCTTCTTCCCTGGCGCCGCCCCTCCCTTTCCCGGATCCAGCCCTCCCTCTCCTGGATCCGGCCGGTGGAGGCCGGTGGCGGCCGGATCTGGGCTCTGGTGGTGGCGGGCGGTGGGCGACGTGCGGCGTGGCGGCGGGCTTCGTGGTGCTGGCGTGGTGGCGGCCGGATTTGGATTAAACTGCATAACTGTTGATTTGCTTATTATTCTTGCTTTTTTCTGCTTTGGCCATGTGAAGTTATTCACTTAAATGAGAGTTCTGATCTAAAAACTGTACAAACAATTAACTCTGAAGAATGCCATTACTGTGCCTGTGTGGATAATAACCTTTTAAGTATGCCATTTTTCTATTTTTATTCTTATTATCTATGGTTAACCGTAGGATTATGTATAATGATTAACCACATATTGGTTCTGTATACCTTTTGAATTCTGGAACACTCTACTTGCACTTAATATGGATTAGTGCATATGCACTACAAAAAGTATGCATACTAATTCGAGAAAAGTGTGCATGCTAATTGCCATTTATAATTTATATATGGTTTGGATACACAGTCAAGCTTGAACTCATCAGATATTTTAGAAACTGCATATGTTAGGTCAAAGCAGCTAAAATTGAGTCTGTAGAAAATAATTTCAATTTAATACATCCTACGTAGCAAAGCTAGGTGAGAGAAGCTTCGAAATATGTTCTGGAGGCTGCAAACCTCTTTCATTTGAATCATTAATCTATTGTACTATAGTTCTTCAATAGACTTGAATATATTTTTTATGTCCTACTCCTAACATGGATTTTTACTGTTACAGATTCAAATAGATTTTCAAACTAGCAACATCCAAAATTAGAACTAAGTGTCTTATTAGAGCCACCACCACAATACCAAACAGAGCCCTAATCAGCAACTTGGATGCTACACCCTACATTCTCTTGTAGAGTGGATGATTTATTACATTTTTCCCTGCAAAGAGGCTTACTGCATTTGTTTAAAGGTTTATATTACTAATTGAGCGTTGTTGCTTTGTTGCTCGCAGAATTCTGGAAGCAAGTTCCTCCAAATGAACCATATCGTGTCATACTTGGTGATGTCAGGGATAAATTGTACAACACACGTGAACGTTCTTGTCACCTATTGTCATCTGGAATTTCTGAGATTCTAGAGGAGGCAACTTTTACTAACGTTGAACAGGTTTGCTCTTTTTTCTGTGATATACATATTAGTGACTGCAGCCATCATACTTATAGTAATCTAATTACCACCTTCTATGTTGCAGTTTCGTGCCGCGCTGCTCTCCCCTTCCCTAACTATGCCTTGTGACTTTTTTTGTTTTGTACTACTCTTGAGTGGCTGTGATGAATCAAGTTCCCATTAGAGAACTTCTGCACTTTAGCACCTTATGAGCTGGTACTTGGGATATTTTGTTCTGTTTGCTGCTTAACTAGGATGGCTTGTACCAGTACAAGAAACCAGTTCTGTGGCCAATTCAATTCCCACTAGATAGAGAGAATTAAATTAAGTTCCAGGTGAAATTAAGTTGCAGTTGTCATGCTGATAATGGGTAAATCTGAGCCATTTCTTGAGTTCTTTTGCTCCAGGTGAAATATATGTAGTTCTTGTGCTTTTGACATACTGCTCTCTAATGGATCTGGAATGACCAATAGTTTCTTTTCTATTAGCTCAGTTCAATAGAGCTCTGTGATTTTTGCATTGCTATTTATAGAAGAACATGACTTTCTTGCATGCAAATCATATATTTGTTGCCTTGGACTGTGAAACTTAGGTAATACTTTCAAATGTGAAATTTCTGGAGATGGTCAACTTCTAGAAGAATGTTCTTCTCCTCTATTGTTAGTTCAAACTGTTGTCTTGGTGGAGGTGGACCCCTCTCATCCGGTCTCCTTGGGGGTCTCCCAGGATTGTTTCTTTGGTTGCTCCTGTTACCAGATTTGGCACCCCATCCATCTGCTTTCCAGTCCTTGTTACTAGAATCAACTGTCTCTTTTCATTGAGCAGTACCTTGTGAGTTCTCAGCAGTCACATCATTCCATCTTATCTTTCTCACCCCAAGTCACGCTCGCCTCCCGTGCTCACCTTTGCCCTCGTCGTCCTGGTAATTCTAGCTCTCTGTCTGTTACCCGACTGCTACTGCTGTTAGTTGTAATTTTCCGGATGCTGATGGTGTTATGCGCTCATGTTTGCAGGGTGTCATCCTTCTCATCGCCTACTTCAACAGCGGCTCAGGTCACGGTTAAAGATTCTCGGTTAGACTCGCTCACTCAATTTTCTTGATTAATGTTGTTGAATTGACAGCTATGAATTATGACCGTTCTATGTTATTGGCATTCCAGCTATGAATTGACAGTTATGTATTATTATGCAATTTTGAAAGCAAACTGACTTGAGTTAGTATGTATTGAATTGACAGCTATGAATTATGACCGTTCTATGTTATTGGCATGTACTGGTTTGTTCCAAAAGACCAAAATAAAACCAATCAGTGTTTCCTTGTACTTCTAGTTTGACTCTTTCTTTAATGGCCAGGTGTAACTGTTACAAGCAGAGAGGCTGTGACCAGGTCCGAAGGTATATTTTTCCCCCTCCCTTCCACTTCTCTTTTTGGGTGTCAAATCACCTGCTGATGTTATTTTTTAGTCATCCAAATTTCTAATTTCTCTCTTAAATTTGCTCTTCAACGTGTCATTAGACTTGCAGCCTGAAATATTTTTTTTGTTCTCTCTGATTACAAGGTTGCACTTGCTATTGTAGTTTGCAATTAAGACGCTCAACTAGTTTTAACAATATATCTTATTCGTGGCTATGTTATTGTTATCTTAGCATTGTTTCTCAATCATTATTATCAGTAATACTATTTCAACTGAGTAGTATGGTTTTTGTGTTATCCTTGAGTTTTTGTAGTGGGAAGCGAGAACCAAGTAGTCAATTATGCTGGTATTCATGCCTTCATGGACATGTGGTTTAGTTTTGATTTATTCCATATGTTCATATTGCCTGTGGTTGGCTCCTTTTGTCGAGCAGTATCATTCGATCTCTTTTTTACTTAACTAGGTTTAGTCGTTGTCTTGATCTGATACTATTCTCAAGTTGTAAAGCCAACTCTATGCAAATACATCTTGAGGCCATTTTAGTGCTTGAACAAAAAAGGTTACATATTAGGTTTGGGAGAACAGAGCATTGTATACTCTGCATCTAAAAATACTAATTCGATGTGCAGGAGCATGCCTCTCATTTACCTTCCCTTTTTTTCCGTAATAGCTCCTGAGCTCTGAAGATACATGGATGTACGCACCTCTTGCCTATAACCACATGAGCATGGACCTCAGTCCAAATGTTGCTGTGAAGCAATCATGACCGTCCAAAAAGAGTTGTCTGAACTGATCAGATGGGAGCTAGAACACAGTGCATGGTCCATCTTTTCATAAATCTGTAATTAGCCCTGACTTTACATTCTTCAGTTGCTTCTTGCAAGTATGAGCAAGAAGTTCTTTTGAAATAAAAATTGGACCATGGGTTCCCTTGTCATATGAGATGTCGACAGTTCACGGAAATGGGAATTTTTCTAGGGTGCATTAATGAATGTGCTGAACATTTGGATCTTTATATGTATGCTATCTATTATGTTGTGATGAAATTACAGTATGGACAGTCCATATTTAATATGTTGTTGCTACTGTTCTGTTTCTATATAATTATTGTATCCAATTTGCTGCATGGTTAAGGGTTTTTCTGTCGGTGCTCTGTTATTTTTCTGTGCGTTAACCGAGACCGACACAACATTTAAATTTAATCTGGGCTAACGCAATTTTTCTGTGCGTGTAACACCCACAGAAAAATTGTTTCTGACGGCGAACACACAGAACAATTGAATTTTTCTATCATTATATTTCTGTGGGTATTTTTCTGAGGGTACACCGTCAGAAAAATATTCGCATTTTTCTGAGGGTATTTTTCTGACGGTATTCGCATTTTTCTGTGTGTTTTCGCACACACAGAAAAATGCGAGACTCCAGTAGTGGAGGATTAATTAAGGAGCGAGGCCAGTTAATAACACAATCCTGTGCAATCTGTACTGATCGACAGAATCTTGGCTGGAACTTAAAGTTCATCGCCGAACCTCGTCCGTCTCTGCTACATCCCTGCAGCCACGCACACCAACACCCACAATATATAGCGCCTGCATCGACTAGGGTATGTATGCTCTTTATAATATGGTGAAAACAGCTGGGTGTTCATGTCTTTACGCTATTGGATCCTCTCGTCTTGTAATGAATTGGATTATGTGCAGTGGTGGAGCACGGAATAGAGCAAGAAGGGTGCTAACACTATGGGAAACACGTCATTTGCCGAGTGAAAAGACCTGCTTTGCCGAGCGCCGCACTCAGCAAAATATGACACTCGGCAAAGAGGCCTTTGCCGAGTGCCTGGCACTCGGCAAAGGCAGACACTCGGCAAAGATTGGTAGGGCTTAACGGCATCCAGCGGCGTCCTCTTTGCCGAGTGCCCCCCGTTTGGCACTCGACAAATAATTTACTTTGCCAAGTGCCAACCCTAGGCACTCGGCAAAATATTTTTTTTTTGTTTTTTGCCACCAATTTTTTTAAAGCTTTAGTACACTACCACAAACAACATGTTTAAATTTGGGACATTTTCATTGCCTAAAGGCATATTTCTATAGTTTATTTTGTTTTGTTGATTTTTTCCAGAAAATGTAAGTTTGAACTGCAGGTGCATCGAATAATGGATTACATTCGTTCAAAAAATGTTATCCTTGTTTCTTAGTGTAAATTTAGGCTAAATACAGGAACTGTCTCGAAATTTCGATCAACGTGCTCATGGGGCAACGCCGCCAACCTGCGTGGGAGTGGTTTTTTAATTGTATAAAATGCGAACGAATTCCGAAAATCATGAAACTTGTCGAGTTGTCGCCGTATCGTATGCGTATGCCGTGAAAAAAATTTGAAAAAGTTTCGAGCACGTTGTCAAAATTTTTCAAATTTTTTCCACGGCACCGTGCCACCCCGGCCCGGCCACCGCAACACTGTAGAAGAGAGGAGGAGGAGGCAGGGGAGAAGAGAGGAGAAGGGGAGAAGAGAGGAGGAGAAGGAGAAGGAGAGGAGAAGGAAGGTGCCTGCCTAGGCCCGTCAACCCTCACGCCGCTGTGGTCGTCCCCGCCGTCGTCGCCGACCCTCGTTGCTGCCATTCTCATCGTGAAGGTATGCCCTACACCTGTAGTAGTTAGTAGTAGTACTTAGTAGTGTTAGTAGTAGTTAGTAAGTAGTAGTAGTTAGTAGTGTTAGTAGTATTGTTAGTAGTAAGTAGTGATAGTAGTAGTGTTAGTAGTAGTAGTGTTAGTGTTGGTAGCAGTTGTAGTGGTAGTAGTACTTGTTGTTGTACTACTTCGATACTTTCATCTGCATGGAAAGAGAACTAAAGTACATGGCTCATCTTGGTATATATATGTTTGTTGGCCTTCGTGCCTATATTTGGTATATATGTGGTTGTTGGCCATCGTGCCTACGTTTCTTGCAGGTTTTGGAAACCTCCCCGTGCAGGGGAGGTGCTGCCGAAATTTTCAATGGATTCTAACCTATTGCCTTTTTATGTAGGAGAAGGACCCGTGGGAGGGACTCGGCGACCCCGATCATCTTCATCAGCACTGTTGGTCTGCCCGCACCGCATCGCCTCGCCACTGCACCGACACGCCACTGCCCCGCCAGCCTGACTCCACCGCCACCCTAGGTATAACCCCCTCCTCCTTTGCATGCATGTTTTATATGGTCACGTAGCCCAGTTAGGCGTCTCCCGTTCGAAAGAGATATGGTCGGAGGTATGCAGATCTTTGCATATCTGCGACCGTATCTCTTTCGGATTGTCCACGTATTTTGGACAGCCCGTGGATGCGTAGATGAGGTTAGTTTCCATGGTTCGCTCCGGTCCGAGACAGACTTTCGACATCACCTCCCTGTTGTTCTCTGGATACACACTCTCCCTTGCAGGACGTGTATCGGGAGAACAACGGGAGGTGCTACCGAAATTCTGTCTCGGATAGGAGCGGAGCATTAAAACTGGCCTCATCTACGCATCCGCAGGTGGGATTAGGACCTATCCTCACCTATTAGATGGTAGAAACGCCATGCAGATACAATTGTGGTTATATTACTCGCTTATATGCCAGAGGATGGAGAACCGTGATTGGATGTACATGGGCCACGCAAGTATGACCCCAGAATGGATGACTAAGACTAATGCTTTCTTCAAGCATTCATTTGGTGAGACTGCTAGAGGGTCGAGTCGGATGCCGTGTCCCTGCAGCAAATGTGACAACCGTGTAAGAAAGAATAGGAAGAACGTGGGGGAAGATCTTTGCAAGTATGGATTCACGCCAAACTATACCTGCTGGATCCACCATGGTGAAGCCGATCGTATTAGAGAGGAGGTGGTGAGACCACGCCTCGAGGATTTTGATGGAGATGCGGGGGTAGCAGACTGGATGGATGACTTTCAGGAGGCACGGTTCGGTGAAGGATTAGAGGACGAGCCAGAGGAATCCACAAAGGCGTACTACGATATGCTGTCTTCGGCACAGAAGCCCCTTCACGAAAAGACAATGGTTTCGCAACTGGATGCCATTGGACGCCTAATGGCGTTCAAGTTGCAGTGCAGCATGAGTTGAGACAACTTCGATGGTATGTTGGCAGTTGTTGGATCCCTGCTTCCGGAGGGTCACATTCTGCCGAAGAACTTATACGAGTCACAGAAACTTCTCCGTGCCCTTAAGATGCCGTATGAGCACATCCATGCTTGTCCGAATGGTTGCGTCCTGTTTAGGAAAGATCACGAGAAAGCAACGCACTGTCCAAAGTGCAAATCCTCTAGGTATCTGGAGGTCGACACTAGTGATGGCAAGAAGGAACAACTTGGTATGCCCACGAAGGTCCTACGGTACCTTCCTGTCATACCAAGGATCCAATGGGTGTACATGACAGAGGAGTCCGCGAAACAGATGACATGGCACAAACATGGCAAAAGATACAATGCTGACAAGATGGTACACCCATCGGATGGCGATGCATGGACCCATTTCGATGGCATACATCATGGTAAAGCTAAGGAGGCTTGGAATGTACGTGTAGCGCTGGCAACAGATGGGTTCAACCCCTATGGATTGCTGGCGGCCCTGTACACTTGTTGGCCCATGTTCATGATCCCCTCAATCTCCCCCCCCGGCGTCATG